TTTTTTTTCGTTTCTTCTATCACCGAAATTTTTCTTCCCACATCAAACTACACTTTTCACACTGAAGAAAATTTTCGTCGTCTGCTTAGTTCATCTTCTACATCAAAGTTTATTTCATCTGATCGTCTATGCGTTCCCTGCATTCATTTTTTTGCTTGATTTCAACATTTTTCATGTCGACATAATATAATGATCGTTTTCATATCAAGAAAACTGGCTGCTAAGTGTCAAAATTACTAAGTTTGCTAGTGACTTGAAAGGGGTGGAAAATACGAGAAAGGACACTGCAAACAGAAAGAAATGCATCAAATGGTATAGGGTATAACATTTATGAAATGGTGAAAGAATCATCATAAGAACACTCAGAGACCAACCAGTTGAGCTGAATGAATTCGCGAAAAACTAAATGGTAGAGAAAGCACGACGTGAGTTTGTTATGAAAAAACAACGGAATGATTAGTAAATGATCAAAAAAACTTTTGTAATTCAGTTTGATAACCTCTGTAATTCATTGTCAGTCAGTTTTTCCTCTATCCATAACGCAAACACCATCAACCAACAAACAAAAGGCAGAGGAACAAATGTCGATCAAGAATTCGATTTGAATCATATGAATCTGAAGTGGGACGAGATGAGATCAATGACAGAAAACTGGCTGGCGATCAATCACGTGATACGTGGAATATGAATACAAATAACAAAAGTACAAATCGAACAAATCGCACAAATAGATATCAGATTTGCCGAAGTAAAAGATATCAACGATGATAAGAGCGATGAATAGAATTTGGGATTTTCAGAGGATTCAGTGCTGCAAAATGGCTGCTGCGATCTCTCTCTGAGCACTCCGAAAATTGCAGAAAGCTCTAGGATTGGTTCACTGCCGTCATGGAGTGATGAGGTGAACAAACTGATAAGCGAGGGTAAGTAGCAAAAGAAGATTGTTTTACGTGGACGGTACACGAGTGGGAGGTGTTTGTGATGGCCAATGATAATTTCTGATAACAGCGAGCTTTTTCGGTTGGTTGTTCGATTGTGTGCAATGATGTTGGCAAAAAAAAATTTGTCAGTGTGTGTTCCAAAAGAAATATGATGTCGGAAAATTCAATATTTTCTTCTCATTTGTTTGATTATTTGCCAAACTTTTTCTTCACTGACCGCTTGAGATACATTTATTGCCAACGAAGTGCGTGGGATAATGATAAAGATGACTCAATGAGAAAACCATTTGTCTTTTTTTGTCTTTTTCACAGAATTGTGTGAAGGTAAAAGGGTGAAATTGACAAAAAAACTTCGAAATTTTCGAAGGGGAGTGGGATGAGATCAAGAAGCAATAATATGCAGTTAGTGATGAATATTTGAAAATTTTTGAACAAAAGTTATTGATAAATTTTTGAAAAAAAAAATTCAAGTATGATAAAAGTTATGAATTTTCAAATAGTAATGTATTACCGAAAAATATTTAAAAAACAGTATGCTGTTAATATTACTTGCTGAATATTATGTTCTGCGGCAATAAATTACTACGAGCGATCCATTATTCAACCGATGATCAAAACATAAAACAGAAATAAGCGGAATATTCCTTTGAGACGAGACAAAACGGAGAATTAAGAAGGTCCCACTTAAAATTCTTCCATGAACGCAACATAGGAGAACTTGAACTTGCTGAAATTGGAATTTTGGAGAACTTGCTAGAATTTTGGCTGAAAACGCGAATAATTCGATGACTTCTTCAAAAAAAAAAGGAAATCAGAAAGCAAAACAATTCCGACCTGAATTATCAGTTTAGTGGAGATAACGTTAACCGGTTAGCTGCAAAGAGACCGCTAATGAAATTTTCCTTTGATATTGAAGGCAATTGAGGAAGGAATGAATAAGAGTGTATGATCATTTCAACAAACAGTATTTTGATGAGATGGCACTTGATTAAATTTGTTGACGCTGTCCTCACGATTATTATGCAAATCTGAGGCCTGGAATTTGTAAGAAGAAGGAAATTATTCGAGAGAAGCATATCAGAGCAGCAAATTTCGGGCACTGACGATGAGATTATAATATGATAATCAATATTGACGATTTAGTCAGCCTTCGGTTGTTGCGTATGCTGGGGAACAAATTAATTGTGAGAATTACTTGAGGAATTTTAAGGGTGCTTGAGGTAGGGTTTGCTTTTGATGTTTGCAGTCATACACGGGATTTGCTGTTTAGTATCCCGAGCGATGTGGTCTTAAAGTAATCCCCATAGATGGCTAATTATTGGTCAGTGATCAACCATGAAATCAAATGTGTAATGATTCGCCGCATCATTTAATCGCTCAGCTATGGGACAGGAGATCATCAGCTTGACTGCTGTTTCAAGAAACATGCTTAGTGAATCGCTGGCATATGCACCTTTCTGATAACACAGGAACTGTCTTACGCACGGACGAAAAAATACTCAGCGAGTACATCCTTCATAGGTTCCATACGTTCAGATTCTTGCGCTGATCTGTTGACTTTTGTGATGAATTCTCGAGCTATTGGTGAAGCATACACACGAATCCTCAAGGTGGAACGCTCAGCCCCAAATTTGCAGTTATTTTCAGCGATTACGGCCACATCGTCAACTTTGAAGAAGTCACTCAGATCGGTGAGAAACCAACAGAATGGAAACCGAACAAGATGAAAAGACAGCAATCATCTGCCTTAAGCATCTAGTGAATGTTGTGATTAACGTTGGAGGGTTCGGTCGAGAATGCAGCAAATGATATTGGGGAGTCATGTCGAATACAAGCATCAGTAACTATTTCAGACCGATCTATCGACGCAGAATCGAAGGCATGCCCTCCATAGGAATGAAATCCTGAAAGCAAAATGTGACTCTAGTCATCACTGACTTACCTCATGCTCTTACGAAATCTAATTGCCCCATCATATCATACATTTATGTTAGCTATTCGTGTTAGCCACTACAAAATAAAGAAATTAGCTCACATCCTTTCCCAGGAACTGAAGTGAATGAATTTCCTTCCAAAGTGGAGTAAAGAAAGGAATATGGCATCGGCAACAGCAAGGGCACCACATTCAAACAACACTATCGTCTGGTCTGCCCAACATGTTGTTTTTTATACAATCGGATTCCACATTTTTTTCTGGTTTAAGATATTTATGTATGCTGTCGGACGACTTGGCTTGACTGCAAAGGAATAGCTGATTTTCGGAACGTATTTCATTTTGATGAGTAGCATCGCTACGCCGCCAAACTCTGTTCAATTGGTCATTATTTTTCTGTTTTTTTTCATTGAATTACTGAATTTTCATTAATCATTTTCATTCATCAAATATTTTCATTATTTAATTATTTCAATTTTTATCAAGCGCATTATCTTCAATTCAGCTGATTTCCTCACAATCAGGTCAGGCCTGTAGCATGGTAGTTTCGTCACATCATCAAATTCTCCAGATTCTCTAGTTTTAAAAAAACTATGCGCATTGTCGGACGATTTCACTCGATATCAGAGAACCAGCTAATTTCTTTAAGGTTTGGATACCTTAAAGAAAGCTAATTGCCTTAATACCTTACTTTCCTTAATACCTTAATACCTTAAGCTAATTTCCTTAATCAATGTACTGGATTATGTTAGCGATTGCGTTGCCACTTATTTCAGTACATTATAGTTGTGCGTCTGCATTTCTAACGGTTATGCTCCACTGTTGAGGACTCTTTATCTTCTGCGATTTTCACGATTCGGAAGTCATTTTGTATAAAATCTCCAACCCAATTTACCCTTTGTACATTGGGATAAACTCGCTGTTTGAGGTTTCTTGCCGCTGCAATAGATTAATGCATTCACCAATTCGAATGCAAAGCGCGGCAAAATGTGTTCAAACTCTCCTCAAGGAAATCTCCATTTCACATTAATTTTACTGATTTATATGTCGTTTTTCGTGAGGATTTCTTTATCTTACCGTTATCAGGTTAATCAGTGGGCATTTTTGCTGATAATGGGCGCCACTGCGCGCATATGCTTAAATTACCACTCGGCCCTTGTGTAGCTATGCAATTCGAAGTCAAATCCGGAGTATGCTTAAGCTTAGACTTACGCTTAGCCCACTCCGTGATGGCGTGGTAGCGCCCGTTATCAGCGAAAGTACCGGAAAAATTTACATTTTAGAGCATGAGCAGGTCTGAAAATGAGTCTTTATGATAATTAAGTGATTCGATGACGTGTTTTCTCAGATTAGAATAATAACTAATTCAGAACCGATTTCAGTGTCGGTCGCTTCATTGTTGCGAATAAGATTGCAAAATGTCAACTGGACCGAACGATTTCTTCTATTCGAATAAATATCAGGATGATGAATATGAGTATAGGTCAGTTTATTAATTTATGTTTGTTTGCGCCTATTTTCCGATGATTATAATTTTATTCATGTAATTCATGTGCACGTTTTGACCAATGAAATGTAACGTTGAACATTTGAAAGGTAAAAGAAATTAAAGAAGTGATATGAATTCGGTTGATTTTGAAACACTTTCGAAGTATGCCCCGAAGAGAAGTTCGTGAACGTTTTGTGACATTGATATTTGGTGGACATTGAAGTGTTTGATCATAATTTTTGTGACAATTTGATAGAATGTTCAAAAAAATTATGGAATGCTTCCATACTTTCAGGCATGTTCATGTCACAAAAGAGGTTGCCAAATTGATACCAAAGAATCGACTTATGACCGAATCCGAATGGCGCAGTTTGGGTATTCAACAAAGTCCAGGATGGGTGCACTATATGATTCATGGACCAGAACGTCATGTAGGTTCCCTTGTTTATTTGTATCCAAACCCTAGAGGACTAGTTGAACTTAACACTCTCCTCATCTTCCGGAATTTCTTCACAATTCAACCCTTTGATCGTGATTTGGAATCCATTAAATAGCAGGATCTCACGAGAGCACTGGAATCCGGAGGAATCCAGATCTTATTGAGATATCTGTTGATCATGAAGTATGCTTCATAATTTTTACAAATTCTGAAAAGTTGATTCATAAACCCAGATGAATGATGCTCAAACTGATCACAATCCGTGGTTCCTGGATCCTAACATTTAGTTCCACATTTCAGGTGCTCTTGTTCAGGCGCGCTTTGCCGCGTAAGAATACAGGTGGCACTCAAAAAGGAGGCAACAGTGCGGTCGGAGTTCGTGGTTGAACAACGTCTGTGTATTTTCTTNTGTAGGTTCCCTTGTTTATTTGTATCCAAACCCTAGAGGACTAGTTGAACTTAACACTCTCCTCATCTTCCGGAATTTCTTCACAATTCAACCCTTTGATCGTGATTTG